GTAAAACTTCCACCCGTTGAGCGGTTTGCCTACTTGAGGATGTGTTTTTAAGGGCACGGATAGAGCTTCCGACCCCCCGTAATTTCATTGAACCTCCACACGAGTTGGGGAAAAGGAGTTAAAAGAAGTACTCTGGCGAGAGCCAGATGTACAGAAATTGCTCTTGCTCGACTAATAAGGGTCGATCGTGCAAAAGACTGCAATTGGAACCCCTACTAAGTGAAAGAAGAAAAAAACAAGAAAAATGTGAATGAAAGTGCAAAAAGGGGTTCCAACGGTGAAATGAAGTGAAAGAGCACCCCGGTACAACAAGTCCTTGGTTGTGAATGTTGTGAGTCCCTTTATCCATGAACTGACTGTCTTACTTCCATTGCTTCTCATGATCCTAGCTTGAGTCTAGTACTCGCATTGAGAGAGATAGGGGACATCTTAGAAGACCAGTTGACCTCGTAAGCTGCTATATGATCTAGAAAATCCTCTACCGACGATCGGGGTTGTTTGTTGCTATAGAGGTCTGGAGAGCTGCATTGGTTTGAGTTAGGTTTGCTTGGGGACAAGCAAACGGTTAAGTGTGAGTGAGTTTGATAGACCATTGATTACACATGTTCTTACACCTATTCTTGAGCCGTTTGAGATGTCGATTCTCGCGTTTTAGGCCGATTTCACGCTAGGTTATTCTTGTTTGTGATATTTCAGGTCCTACTACGTGAATAAAGGTTTAGGAACGAGTTCGGGGTCGATTAGACGGAGATCGGACGTTTGGCGAGAAGCTGAGAAGCCACACGAGCATGCCTAAAAGCCACACGGCCGTGTAGGGGACCCCTTGTGGCCGTGTGGAAATTCCAGGGAACTCACACGGGCACCCTTGAAGTCCACACGGCCGTGTGGGTCGTGGCCGTGTAGGAAGCCTGAAGCCACTTATCGAAACTCCGCGTTTTGACACTCGCACGGGCAGCCTGGGAGTGTCACACGGCCGTGTGGCCTGGCCGTGTGAGTCGGAAAATTCTGGGTTTTAATCCAAATTCGAGCCAAAGGAGAGGGAGAGCTGGGTTTTGAATCCCAAACACCCTAGGGACGAACCAATGAGAGAGAGGGTGATTTGAGGGCATTCTGGCAGTGGAACTGGAGGATTTCTTCGCCTTGGAAGCTCGAGGAACAAGCCCGAACTTGAAGACTGAGCATCTGAAGATTCTTACTACAGTCTTTCTCTCCTCTATGGAGTAACTTCCCTTCACTTAGGTTTTGAGGAACCCTAGCTATGTTTGTTTGATTGGGTGATTGTATGAGTACTCTGACTTGATAATCTTGAGTTCATATTCAATCTATGCATGTTTTCATGATTCAATTCTGCTTTAGTCGAGATTATTGATTCTGCTTTGATCCTATGAGAGCGAATACCTGATTAGGTCAATAGAGCACCTTAGATTGATAGTAGTGGATCGATTGCTTTAGTCGAGGGTTGATTCACTGCTTTGTATCGATTGAGAACCTCATTCGATAGAGGGAGTCTAGTTCAGAATGCCTTGATCGGTTGTTCTAGAGAAGGATACGTCCCTCTAGGCAATTGACTCAAGAGGGCCTTGTTCCTTTAGTCGAGACTCAAGGTCTAGTCACGGATTCTCCGCATTGTGAATGAAAGTGAAACAAGTTAGAGATCATGAATCGTTAATCTGGCTATTGGCTAGGGGGAATCATACCTAATTGAGTTCCCAACCTGTAATTAGATTAACTTTAACTGTAGTTTGCTAGAGTAGTTTTAGTTCTTTCATCTTAATCTGGTTTGCTAGATAATGAACTGAAGCTGAGTAATAGTAGCTCTAGAGACCGGTGGATTTGATATTTATTACTTGAGCCACTATACTGCAGTCCCTTTCATTGGTTACACTTGGCCATTGTTAGGACTTGTGTCATAGCGAGTCAACGAGCAGGTCAATCTCGATGGAGCCAAGAAAGCTGAGTTCGTGAAGAGTTTACATGAGAAGGCGAGATTGAACATTGAGAGAAGGACGTAGCAGATCATGCGCAATGTGAACAAAAAGAGGAAACCGATGCACTTTGAAGTTGGCGACTGGGTGTGGGTGCATTTGAGGAAGGAGAGGTTTCCCCAGCAGAGGAAATCAAAGTTGATGCCCCGATGTGATGGTCCTTTCCAGGTGGTTTCGAAGATTGGAAGCAACGCCTACAAGATCGACTTGCTGGGGGAGTATGGAGTAAGTGCAACATTTAATGTTTCTGACCTTGCACCTTATTTGGATGGCAATTCGGATTTGAGGGCAAATCCTTTTGAAGAAGGAGGGGCTGATGAGGACATCAATGGGCCAGTCACACGTGCTAAGGCAATGACGTTGAAGGAGAAGGCAGATTGCAAGAAGCAGCCTTAACGGGTTTGCTTAACGGGTCCAGCCTTAACAGGTTTACTTAACGGGTCCAGTCTTAACAGTTTGGGCTTAACGGGTTGGGCTTAACGGGTTTGATGGGCTATTTCCGAGTTTTCATGTTTTAAAGTCGGTTTATGATTGTTTTTCCATGTTGGAGTCGGATTTGGGTTGTACTTTGCCTATTTAAAGGACTGAATACGTTGGTTTGCCCTTAGACGATTATTATTGAATTTCAGAGGCTATTATCGAGTTCCCTACGAGGAATTTGCCCTAATTACTCTATCGAGAATCTCCAGAGTGCTAGAGCGACTCTTATCATCTAGGTATTCACCCTGGTTGTGGAGAGCTACCCATATCGATTGCCCTTTATTCCAAGTTGAATCTATCCGATCGATTCATATATCGATTTCCCTTATTCACGGGTGAATACTGTCCGATCGATTTCCATCCTATCCGGTTCTATTTGGTTCGAGAAGCTTGGCCCTGCGCAACTTTGATTATATCATTATCGCCCAGCACTACTGCCGCCCTAAACGTCCTTGTGCCGGAAGAAGATGAATTTCGGAGGCGAAACCTAATGTGAAGGCCCGTTCGCCTGAAATTGCTAGTCGTTGCCGTGAGAAGTATAGGTGCATAATGCCCCTCTCATTGTGAAAACACAAAGATGGCACTCGTTACTTTTCACTCCCAGCCATTACAAAATCACATTACCTCACTTCTCCACCTCACACCACAATGGTACTCCCTTCTTTTCGCTCTCTCTCCCATTCTTCCTCTTCCAACTCTATTTCGGATTGTGAGAAGCAGAGGTAGAAGGAGTTTGTTCTGATGGCGGATCAAGAGAACTGCGCTCCACTCACTCACGCTACTAGGAAGAGGGCAGCGGTGACGGTGACAATTCCAGCGGATGTGGAGTAGAGCCTTTCTATCCATCAGTAGAATAAGAAGAGCAGGGTTGTGTTAGGCGAACTTCCTCAGGTGGCTAATGTTGGGGCGGTGGTGGTAGATCTAACTTCTGGTGACAGGTCGGAGAAGCGCACAACCAAGGAGAAGGCGAAGGCTAAGCGGAGGACTAAGGCCAAGAAGTTTGTTGCTCCCGTTCCAGAAGAAGAAGTCCTGCAGGCGACGGTCGAAGTCGATATCAAGGACAAAGATACAATCCCCGATGATCCTCAGATGTGCCAGCATTATGCCTCCGACATTTACGATTACCTTCACAAGTTAGAGGTGATTTGAGCTTTTTTTTTTTGGACATTTTCTTTTCCAGTCTGGTTAGTTTTGTGAAACTAGGGATTAGGGGTTTTGTTTGGATTTTGATTTGGGGATTTGATATTTAGGATGAACTAAAGCGAATGCCACTGCCTGGTTGCATCGACAAGGTCCAATTGAATGACTCCCAACATGAGAGGGATTCTTGTGGCTTGTGGAGGCTGCTTACTTGCCGGCACCGAGTAGCACCGCCTCCGAGTCAGGTCACATGACAGCAGCGCTGCCGTTGCTGCCGCCTTTATGCAAGGAGTCGATTTGGCTTACTTATGGGAGATTATTAGATTAAAAGGAATTAATTTTTAAGAATTGTGAAAATGAGGTGGAAATTTTTAAAAATTTTATTTATTATTTGTTAATTGCAACAATACTCACTTAACGGTCAACTATTAGAGTTGACTGCCACGTAGGACAAAATTAACGGAGTTGGACGGAGAGTGACCAATGATGAAACAAAAATGTAAAGTTAGTGACCACGAACAGAATTAAATATTTCTAGTGACCAAACGTGAACCTTTTTAGTAATCTCAGTGGCCAACCTTGCAATTTACCTAAATCAATTTAGATGGATTATTAGTACTAACAAGTGACTGGCTAGTAGACTAATTGGTTTAAAGAGTTTGTTTAGTTGGTGTTGTGAAATGGATGTCGTGGGTTCGATTCCAGTCATGAACTTTATTTTAGCTTCATTTTGTTAGAGAAGGGCGATGGTAGAGTGTAATTTGATGAAATCGTAGTGCTTTTAAGCCATCTCACGATAGAGAGTATATAAAAAACACTAATCTATTTCGTGACCTAACAACCTCCCCCAACACTCTCTTCTCTCCTTATTATCGTTCCTTCTGTAGCAAAAGGAAAACAAAACGAGGGAAGAAAAGAAAATCCTTCCTTGATCTGCCTGCTCCTCTCTTCTGCCCTCTCTTTCTCGATCCCCCTCTCCTTCCTTGAATCTCGCCCTTGCCCTTTTGCACGGACTCGACAAAAGGAAAACAACAACCTCCCTTGATCTCTCTTCTCCTCTGTTCTAGTAATGATAAGAAAGAAGAACAAAGGAATAACAAGATCGGCAGCACGGACTGACGCGACAATGATGGTTCTAAAGGTAAGGTCAATGCATGTATTGTTTGTTCGATTCTTAGGGTTTTTTTATTAGGCTTATATCACTTTTGTTTTATGTAGTGGGGGTTATATGATTGATCAAGAAGAGGTAGAGGTTACGAGACGGATCTCGCTGGTGGTATAGTCTGGCGGCATCATCTGGTCGTCGGTGGGACTCTCGTTTGGCTACCGACGACAATAGATCAACAAAATGAACTCTGGGTAGTTTTTTTCTTTTATTTTTAGGATTGATCCGTTTTTGGGATCTGGGTTTTAAAAAATCCTGAATTATATTTTTTGTTTGCCATTTATGTCCCTGGCCGTGATGTACGGACAGAAAGAAAAAGGGAACCGCCGCCGGCGAGATATCCCAATGGCAGCAGTGGTGTTAAGAAGAAACATGGTAAGCTGTCTTTTTTTTTTCTTTGATTTTCATTCATTGATTTGGCTTGGATGGATTCTGATTTTTGGCGAGGTATTAGGTTCTCACCTCTGGTTCTTGTTTTGGTGTCTCACTCGAGGAAAGGAGGCAAAACAAGAAGTGACATCCAGCCCTCAAACCTGTTGATGCCAGGGATGACTCCAAAACTGCTGGGTGGGAGTTTTAACAGCCTTTTTTTTTCTTGTGATATTCCCAGTTTTTTGTTATGGATCTTTATTTGAAGTACTGACCTCTACTCTTTTTAAATTCGGACCTTGGTTTTGATCGAAGGAAGGGAAGAAAAAGAGTCGTCGGCTGGCAATAGCACTACAGACAACAAATTTCGCAATGATTATGGTGAGCTCTTTGGCACTCGATGATTTGGGTTGATGTCAGTTCAAATCTGGTTAGTTTTGGGGGTTAATCGATCATCATGGTTTTGTTTTCTGTGATTTTGGTATGTTCTGAACGATTTCGGGTTTCTCTTCCTTTTATTTGGCGAGAGCGCTGACCTTTGATGAAGTATCCTTTATTCGCTTCTATTGCCTTTTTCTTTTGTAGCGGCTGGACTCCTTTTGCAGTAGTGGGTCTACAAATTTTTTGTCTCTTTGCTGGGTATTTTTGAACTAGAATGTTTGTACTGGGTGAAGGAAAAGAAGTGGAAAGGAGGTTTCTAGTCTCTCTCTGTGTGTGTCTGATAAGAAAAGAAGAAGTGGACAGAAGTCCTCCGTTTCTCTTTGTTGTCTTTCTGTTAGGAAAAGAAAGGAAAGAGAGGAGAGTTTCTATTTTTGTGTCTCTCTTCACATCTATCTGTATTTCAAGAAAAAAGGCAAGAGAAGAGGAAAAGGAAGAAGAAGATAATGAGTGGCTATTGATTGCCCCCCCCCCCCCCCTCAGAGGAAGAGTTGGTCTCCTTTTATAGGGAAATAGAGGCGGTGGTTTTTGGGTCTAGTCGAGCCACTTTGGTTCGACCCGTCTGGACGGTCATATTGGGTTCTGGACAGATTTGTCATTGGGCCTGGTGTGTGAGATTGGAGTTGACTTCTGTTGACCTGCATATGGGCTTGGCCCGAGTTCTTAGGGGAAATTAGCTGGGCTGGACATAGACTCTTAGAAATGGGTTTGGTCTTTTATTTATGTTCAGCACTCATATATAATGTAATTGTAATAGGCTTGTAGTTGTAATGTAATTTTTATTTATTGATACTTTGAATACTAAAAAATTTTACTTTTTTATTTTACTTTTATTGTTTCAAAAGTCGAGGCCCAATTTTGCAAAACCCAACGTCTTAAGAACCAAATCGACATCTCAAGTCATGTGACGAACTCATTGAGAGAAGACTTAATTCATCTATTCGGAGCAAAGCATGTCAACTCTCAGTATCAATCGAGATTTGCTATTGCTTAATCTCATCGACTTATGGCAAACATGCCCCTCCTAAGCACTACAAACATTTTAGTTAGAAAGAATTTAAGATATGTTATTCCAAACCTTAAACAAAACTAATTTTTACTAAATAAAAGATGTTTTAACCCGAACAAAAAATGGTGTATACAGTTGTCCCCCTTTGTGTATCTCTAGGTATGTGAGAGATATAAAAAGTTATCATAGTACACCAATTTTGGCTGGTTAATATTGCGAAAATTTGCAAGGTTAGGGGCGCTAGCCCATTCCCTTCCAATAAGGTATTAGTTAGTTCATGAGGTGATATAGCTTATGTCATCCCATGCGATATAGCAATAATGAACTTGCTTATTCCCATGACGGTATAGCTTGATTTGGATTTTTTTCTATGGCAGTAAGTTCGTTTTGGATCTTCGTGGTCCTCTGGTGGTATAGCCTATAGTGGATTTATGTTGTTCTCATAACGATATAACCTGATTTGGGTGTTTCGGTCCCATGGAGATATAGCCTCATTTGGGGTTTTTTGTAACGTTGCAGTTCAACCTTGTTTGGATTTTTTGGTCCCGTGGCAGTATAACTTATTTGGATTTGGTTAGATCATGGTTGTGTTATACTGTTTTGGTTTTTCTAGTATGGCAGTATAGCTTACATTGATTTGTTGTTTGACGGTGTAGTTGGTTTTTGTTTTGTATGGCGGTATAGCCTGCATTGGTTTCTTTTTATCATGGCGGTAGGTAGGGCCTGCATTAGTTTTTTTATGATGGTATAGCCTATATTAATTTTTTTGTATGGCGCTATAGCTTGCATTGGGATTTGTATGATGGTATATCCTGTGTTGGTTTTATCTTGTTCTCATGGCGGTATAACATGATTTAGGATTTTTATCCATGGCGATATAGCCTGATTTGTTTATGTCTTGTTCCCTTGGGGTATAGCCTAATTTGGAATTTTTATCCATAGTGGTATAGCCTGATTTGGTTCTATCTTGTTCCCGTGGCGGTATAGCCTGATTAGGGGTTTTGTGGCGGTAGAGCCTGATTTGGTATATAGGTATTTTGGCGGTAGGGTCTTAGTTGGTGTTTAGGTATCTTGGTTGTAGTACATGAGTTGGTGGTTGAAGGTTTCTTGGCGGTAGGGCCTGCGTTAGTGTTTTCAGGTGCCTCCTCAATTTCCCGTGATAGTCGACGAAACAAAATTAGCAGGAGGGTCTATGATGACGTCATTCATACCAAAGCTTTAACGAGCCCAACATTGGTGCGAGAAGAGGCTGGTCAAGTTCAAGGTTCAATTACTCGAAGCCAAACCAAAGTGTTCAAGGCTCAACTACAAGCATATTTGGCCAAGAGCTTCGCATCAGTGGAGCCTGAATTGTTAGTGGGGAACGAGGTCAACTTAATCTGAATCCAAGAAGAGCAAGAAGGTAGGCCTGAAAATCCCAAAGGGAACTCCTACTCGTGAAACCTGTTAAGCTGGACCCTTTAAAAAACTGTTAAGCTTATTTCCTCATTGTTTTCCTTTTCCTTTTGGTATTTGTTTTCTTTAGCTTATAGGAGTTGGATTTTTGAGTGGTTCAAGTAGAGAAACATGGTTTTGTGAGCTCTATAAAGAGAGGGTAATTTGCCTACGGTCTGGACAGAATTTGATCAATAAGAAACCCTAGTTTTGAGTACTAAACTCTTACTTGTCTTTCTTTTCCATTCGTGGAATCGAGCTAGCAAGGAGAGCCGACATTATCAACTAGTTGTGGAGTCACATCGTATACTTGACCCTATTCCCAATCATGGAGTAGGTCCGAGTTAATTCGGTTTGTGTTACTAATTGTTTACTTAACTGGAATTGGAGCCTTGGCTTATATCAGGTGGTATTAGAGCTCCAGTTCAAACACAGTTGCATACGCATCCTCCTATCTTATGTGAAATCAACCAAGATACAGGTTCTTGTGTCCTTTAACGTCGCCAAGAAGGTCTTTTAGTTTAGTTTCTTGTTTGTTTAAAATTCGTTCTTGATTGTAATGTGCATCTGTTGGAAAAAGTCGTTCTAGAAAATACAAAAAAAAAAAAAAATGAGCACAAAGAATTCAAGATTAGCTCGCAAAAGACAAGAACAAAAGCCGGATCATGCAAGATTGTGTTTTAATTGAGTTTGTGTATTCTTGGTCGAGTCTTGGTTGTGAAGTCGTTCTGGGCATTCTTACGGCTCAAGATATTGAATTCTGGGCTAACCACTAGCTTGCCTCGTGAAATTCAATCTCTTTTGCATGAATTTGAGGATGTCTTCCCCGAGGAAGCTCCCAAAGGGTTACCACCGATAAGAGGCATTGAGCACCAAATCGACTTTGTTCCTGGTGCGTCTATTCCGGACAAACTTGCTTATCGAACCAATCCAGAGGGGAAAAAAGGAGCTTTAACTATACCATCAAATTCCTCGATTGGATGATATGCTTGATGAGTTGCATGGTTCCAACGTGTTTTCTAAGATAGATTTAAAATCTGGATACCATCAAATTCATATGAAAGAAGAGAATGAATGGAAAACTGCCTTTAAAACGAAACATGGGTTATATGAATGGTTAGTTATGCCTTTCAATTTGACTAATGCGCCTAGTACTTTCATGAGATTGATGAACCATGTTTTGAGAGCTTTCATTGGAAAATTCATGGTTGTTTATTTTGATGATATTCTTATCTACTCTAAGAATTTAAATGACCATGTGATTCATCTTAAGGATGTTTTGGAGGCTCTTCGAAAAGAGCAATTGTATGGTAATCTTAAGAAATACTGTTTTGCATCGATAAGCTTGTGTTCTTAGATATGTGGTAAGTTTGAAGGGTGTTGAGGTATATGAGGAAGAAATTGAGGCAATTAAGGCATGACCCATGCCTAGTAATGTCAATGAGGTTCGAAGCTTTCATGCTCTTTTAGGGTTCTATCGTCGGTTTGTAAAGGATTTCAGCACCATCGCTTCTCCTTTAACCGCTACTATCGAGAAGAACATGACATTTCAATGGGGTAAAGCTCGAAAAAAAAGCTTTCGAGTTTTGAAATATAAACTAACTCATGCTCCTCTTTTGATGTTACCTGACTTTTCTAAAACCTTCAAAATAGAATGTGATGCCTCTAGTATAGGCATTGGTGCGGTTTTGATGTAGGAGAAGAACTAAGTGGTGTTGCTTTGAATTATCCCACTCAAGACAAAGAGCTGTATGCTCTTGTTCAAGCTCTAGAAACGTGACATCACTATCTCTTGCCTAGGTAATTCGTGATCCACAGTGATCGTGAATCATTGAAGTGCTTGAAGGCATAACACAAGCTAAACAAGCGTCATGCTCGATGGGTGGAGTTCATTGAGTCCTTTCCCTATGTGATTCTCTACAAGCAAGGTAAGGAGAATGTGGTTTTTTATGCCCTTTCTAGAAGATATGTGGTAATCTCTTCTCTTGATGCTAGATTTATTGGATTCAAGCACATAGGGAAAGGTAATCTCTTCTCACCAATGATTCTGATTTTGGTGAGATCTATAAGACTTGTGAGAAACATGGTGAGGGAAAGTATTATCGAGTTGATGGTTATTTGTTTCATGCTAAAAAACTTTATGTGCCTCGAGCTTTAGTTCGTGAGTTATTGGTTAGAGAAGCTCATGGTGGAGGCCTTATGGCTCACTTTGGGGAATCCAAGATCTTGGATTGCCTCGAAGAACATTTTTACTGGCCACACATGATAAGTGGCATGGAAAGGGTGTGTGCAAGGTGTCTTAAGTGCCACCAAGCAAAGTCGAAAGTACAACCAAACGGGTTATATATTCCTCTCCCTATTCCTACTGCTCCTTGGATTGATAACTCTATGCATTTTGTTCTTGGATTGCCTAGGAGTAAACATGGTAGAGATTCTGTATTTGTTGTGGTTGATCAATTTTTCGAAGATGACACACTTAATACCATGTCATAAAACTAATGATGCATCTAATGTAGCCGAGCTGTTCTTTAGAGAAATTGTTAGGTTGCATGGCATGCATCGTACGATAGTTTCTGATCGTGATGTTAAGTTTTTTATTTACCTATGGAAAACTTTGTGGAGTAAGCTTGGTACAAAGTTGTTATTTTCTACTACTTGCCACCCTCAAACAGATGGTCAAACTCAAGTGTTCAATAGGACTTTGTCTCAAATGCTTAGGGCTGTCATTCAAAGTAACATCAAGACGTGGGAAGAGTGTTTGCCTTATGAAGAGTTTGCATATAATAGGGTTATTCATTCTACTACTAAGTTTTCACCATTTGAGATTGTGTATGGATTTAATCCTTCAACCCTATTGGATTCCTCTCCTTTACCTTTCAATGAGTGTGTTAACTTAGATGGTGCAAAGAAGGAGGAGTTT